AGAACTAGCTTTTCATTTTTTTTCTTGTGAGATACTAATTCATTGATATCTTTTGAATAAAAAGTTATTCTAAAATATTTTACATATTTGGATTCCGGGCGACGAGATCGTTAAAACAAGATCAAATTGGAATATATTTTAAGTGGTTTAAAAAATTAATGAAACATATTTCACTCCTTTGTTAAAAATAGATTTCATTCATTAATTAATGCAATGATTTCATTTGAATATTTAGAACGCTGATTACATTTAACAAACATGGATTTCACTCATTTAAAAACATGTTCCATTTAATTCAACAAAAATAATTTCCCTCATTTTCAAAAAGACGGATTTCACTAGTATAAAGATACATATTCCATTCATTTCAAAACACCTATTTCATGCATTTCAAAAGACTTATTTCACTCAATTCAAAAAAATACCACTCATTATCTGAGAGACCGATTTCACTTTCTTGAAACAAAATATTTCACTGATTACAAGGAAAAAAAATATTTCACCACACTTGTTTATGAATCATTGATTTCACGTAATTCAAAGTACTGATTTCAATCAACTCAAAAATAATTTGACTTACTTCAAAGAACCGATGTCACTAGTTTTAAACAACATATTTCAATCAGTTCAAAGAAAATAGACTTCTCTAGTTTATGAATCATTGGTTTTAGTTAATTCAAAGTACTGATTTCAATCAACTCAAAAAATAATTTCACTTATTTCAAAGAACCGATTTCACTTATTTCACACAATTAAAAGAAAGATACCAATGTACAATCCACAATCCTCAACTCTTTAATAGTAGAGATACCTGTTCTAGCTTTTGTAATGTTGGTCCCATGGTTCGTATAGAAAATGAAAGGTTTTAGTTGATTTTTCCCAAGGTTTTTGTGATGAGATGCCTCTTATGGCTTATACAAGCTAGATATCATCATGTCGTGTTGGTGTGCATCTTTTAGTTCATCTTCATCGCCATTTGGTAAGTGGCTCTCCCAGGAGCAAGAGGGTCTATGGAGCCTCGTGTCGTGTCGACACGGCAATTCCGTACTCAAAAGTAATGTCACTTGAGGCATTCATCGACAAGTGTTGGTGCTTGCCATGTCATGACCAGTGCTTTTTAGTTCGAAAATAATGTTGTATCAAATGGTCCCAAGAGAAGAAGCACTGATCATGTGCTTGTGCTCAGGTTCGGATATCCCCCGACTTTAATTTGGACGTCCACATTACCGGAAAAATTGGCACATAGGAAATACTCTTTATGTGTAAATAAAGCTATGTTGGGACCATGTGGTCTTGGATAGTGACGATCCATATATCCGATCATGAAGATGTAGTTCCTTGGAACAAATCTTCACCGCAAAAGAAACAAAGGGAGGAGAATAAGGAAGATGGTTGCTGCATCATGACTCTTTACGCGCACCACGGTCATGGACCATCTACCCATTATCCATTGTTCAATTAAGCTGAGATAGCAACAGTAAGCACTTTCTACTTTGTACAGACCTACCACCTTCAACTTTTGTGCAGACCTAGCAATGGGCATAGAAAGCGGAAATCCACCCGTGCCTACCGGCACATCTGTTGCCCTTCATCTCGGCATGAAGATTGTTGTGCTAACTTGCGGTATAAAGATAGCAAATATTTTGCTGCAGGAATATATTGCAATACACTGTGAAATGGTCCATGATAGTAGCTTTTCGTCTGTTAAAATTATAGAAGGACGGATGGTTGCATGCACACATATTCTCTCTCTTCACCATCGAAAAACTAGCACTTCATTATTATTGTGAAATAATTCATTGATATCTTCTGAATAAAAATGTTACTTTAAAATTGTTTTACATATTTGAATTCCCGACCCCAAGATCTTAAAACAAGATCAAATTTTAATACATTTAAATGATTTAAAAATTAGTGAAACATATTTCGCTGCTTCCTTAAAAACTGATTCCACTCATTAATTAAAAATAGAGACTGTGGAAATATTTAAAACACTAATTTCATTTCAAAAACATTGAGTTCCCTCATTTCGAATGATTTTTTCATTTAATTAAAGAAATAGTTACACTCGTTTTCAAAAAGAGTGAGTTCACTAGTTTAAAACTACATATTTTCACTCAATAAAAAGTTTTCACTCATTTCAAAAGGCTTATTTCACTCATTTCAAAAAATAATAAACTCCTTAACAGATGGACCGATTTCACTCGCTTTAATTCACTCATTTTAGAAAATAAAAGATAATAATTACATGTGCATGCCCTTCTTAACAATCAAGCAAATAACTTGTAGAATATGTCAGACTTCCTTTTGAAGGATAAGCTATTTGCTAAATCTCTTGATACAATGAGGCAAGCATAACTTTGATGTTGTAATTCAATGGCGCAGCAACACATTGATGCTTCTAGTAAGGATGGATCTCGGCCTAAATGATCAATTATCTACCAAATGGGAGTTTCGAGAGGCCTGAACATTCTGGTCACGAGGAATACAAATATAATGTTTCTTAATAAAGGGAAAAGTTTTAACCTCACTGCTGATCTACATACAAAATAGTGAACTTTTATAACGGAGGGTTCCAAATCTTGCCTCCTGAAAATTAACATCACAAATCCACTTCAGTCCCAATATGCGTGCATATCAAACAGCTTAGCTACACACTAACACTACATTGGTTTCATCTCGAGAATAAAATGGCAGCGACAGCGAGAGAAGCACCTGTGCGAGAGTGTATTCTAGGGCGACACAAACATAAATTGCTGAAATCTCATTCCATTGTAGCAAGTGACGGCTTGCAGACTACATAGAAGCACATAGATACACTGTAATTTCGTTGGCAGTTTCAGACTTTCAACAGTAAGCAACTAGTGTACGAACAGTACTTTCTAATACTAGTACACCGGGTATTTTTCAGCTCAATTTTTTTTACCAGTACACTGGTAGCTGAGCTAGAGGAACAAATCACAGAAGGTGACGACACTTCAAACTCTCCAGCCTCGAGCCGTGCTTCGGCTGGGCGGCAAGTAAAATTGAAAAGAAGAAGAAGAAGAAGACGAAGAAGAAGAAGAAGCTGCGGGTGTTGCTAGAAGCGGTGGGCAGGGACGAGTCCAACGTCAAAGTTGTGGGAGTAGCTCTTGATGTCATACCCGAAACTCACGGCGTGGCGCTTTGGCCGCAGCATGGCCCGCCTCACCCTCCAGTAGAGCTGCCTCACGGGAGCCGGCGCCTGCCGCCACGACCCCGACCAGCCATGGCTCTTCCCTTCCGTCATATTCCGGCTGCCAATGCTTCTCGTCACATGCAATGATCCTCCCAGAAACGCCATCGGCCCTTGATGAGTTATTAAACACGGCTCTGCGCTGCTCTTCTTTCTTGATAATGTTGCTCCTGATCTGAGATGGATGGTTTTGGTTTGCACAAATGGGGCTCCTCAGCAGCCGTTTTATAAGCTCGCCGAATGGACGAGTCTCCGACGCCGACGTCAACGACGGCCGGGCCGGCCACCACACACGCGCACTCACAGCTAGCTGAGGAGAAAAATCCACTTTACATAAGGATTAGCCCATGGCAAAATCACATTCCGGGCATCTTTTGCCGTTGCCACCCTAAACTACACACCCTACGGTCAAAGTCCAACACGGAATCTGCATGGCCCAAAGGGAGGATAACATCCAAAGAGCGAGGGGTTGGTGGAGGCCTGGTGCCGTGTCGACACAGGCAGTTGCATACTCAAAAGTAATTTTGCTTGAGGCATCCATCCACAAGTGTTCGTGCTTACTACCAGTGTTTTTTAGTTCTAAATATTGCTAGGGTTAATTATCCTTTTGCCCTCAGTCGTGTCCATTTGCTAAGTTTTGCTTTCAGTTGAGAATTATGCTCAATTTTGCCCCTAGTGTGCCCGCACCAACTCGTTCCGTGAAAACTGACGTCTCCGTTAGGTCAACCTTTTGACTCGGCCCTTACAGGTGGGACCAGGCGACAGAGACGCGCTAGACGATCGGACCGTTGCACGCGTGGCTTGTGGGACCCAGCAAAGAGCCGTTGCGCAGAGAGCCGTTGCGGGTGTGCTATATAAGCGGGCGACAGAGAGCGGCGCGCGGTGACCACGACGACAGGGAGAACGGGCGACACACAGCACAACGATAGAGAGAGCGGCGGTGGGAATATAGCTGTGGAGGGCGCAGCGGCGTTGAGATCCCCTTCGGCTCTGAGCTCCATGTCTTCTTCAAGCTCCCGCGCCACGTCGCGGATGCAGAGCCCGACACGCGTGGAGATGCCTATCTTCGTCTGTCCATGGTGCCGGGCGGCCGTTGATAGGAGGGTTTCTCACACACCGAGGAACCAAAATCGTCCGTTCTACGTGTGCAACGAGAATGGGGTATGAATCGGGGTAGTTGCTCCATTTTCGTGATCGGGATCTTTGAGCAATGGGTTCATCTGTTTGGCATTCATGCAGGTGAAACGTTTCTTCCTTTGGGTTGATGCTCTGGCCAAGACTCTGATGAATGAACTGCAAGAAGAGCATGAAGAATGGTTGCGCATGCTGCCACAAAAGGCAGTGGCCGCAGCACGAGCTCCGGAAGAAGAGATAGAGGGCAAAGCACGCACTAACAGAGAGCTAGCTATTGCTGTTGACCTTAGGATGTTGAAGAAGAAGATTAGGAAGCTTGAAGATCAAGCACAAATACCCATTTGCAATTATTTTTGGGCATTTGTAGCAATGTTAATCACACTGGGTGTAATGTTGAAATTGTATGGAAAGACATGAATTATGAAGGAATTTGTAAGCTTAAAATTGTATGAGAAATTCACCTTGTTTAAATGTTGGTCAAAGTTGTTTAAATGTTGAAAAAAGAGAAGAAATGACCAACATTTAAAAATGTTGAAAAAGGGAGAAGAAATGAGAAATTCAGAAACTTTCATCAATGAAATGCAGCTCTCTCCTCAACCTTTCTGTCAAAAAAAAAGGTTCCTCTGTGGGCCAAATTCGGAGTTGAGAGCCAAGTGTCGGCTGGACTAATGGGCCAACTGCATCCAATTAGGCCCATTCGGGGGTGGGCAAATGAGATCTCTTGCATGTTTTTTCTGTTTTTTGTTCTGATTTAATTTAGAAAGTAAATCATTTTATTTAATGCTCAAACTTTTTGTGGAAGCTAATTGAATTATTACAGAGCCAACAATTAAGTGTAGAATTTTTTGGAGCTGTTAAATATTTAAGCAATTTAATTATTACTCCAAATCAAATACACCGTGATTTAAATCAAATCAAAGACCAAAATGTCATGGAAAACGTGCCTCAGCTCTGGTAGAGGTTTACACCTGGTGCCAAAATTAATGAACATTTTTTAAGGGCATTACATTGAGAAAAAAATAATGTCATGGAAAATGTGCCTCAGCTCAGGTAGAGGTTTACACCTGGTGCCAAAATTAATGAACATTTTTAAGGGCATTACATTGAGAAAAAAATAATTTGTCTAAAAAATGAAGGGTGGAAAATGCGCAAAAAATTGGTGTGGTGGCATTTAGGGCTACGCTGGTAACCACTAGGGCAAGTGGAAAGACTTTAACATGGCTAGGGAAGGAAGCTATACATAGTGAGACCGTGACTTGGTTTATAGTTTAAAAACACATGTTTGTACTGAATGTTTGCACACGCGTGAGAGTGGTTTTCCTTTGTTTTGAACTGAAATTTTGAAGGGTTGGAAACGTATGTTTGCACTGCCACATGATTCTTGTTAGAGTGGCACTTGGTTTAGGCTTTAAAGGGAATAAATGTGCATGTTAGTTCATGACTTGGTTTAGGGAAGAAATGTGCATGTTTGGGCACAAACATTTTTGAACACACATAATAACTTGGATAGATAAGATGCAACACGATGTACCCTTATATAGATGGGTACAGGGACACAACACGACACGACATGGCACGCACGTCATAAAAATCAACAAAATAAAAATGATAAAACTAAAACATGACGAGCATGACGAACAACTTCACTCCAGGCTCGCACCCCTTCTTGAACATCTTCATCTTGACCTTTCTTCCACCTTGGCCGCGCGCCCCTTCAACACCGTCTTCAACTTCACTCCTCCTCCTCGTCGTAGGGAAGGGAGTGCATCTGGTTTTCAGTGGGGAAGATGCACTCGTAGTTGGTGAAGACGTTGTACACCGTGAAGAAGATGGAATCGCAGCCGCACCAAAACACTTGGCCGAGGAGCTCGTGCGCGTCAAACGGGTTGGTGAAGGTGACCGTGAGCAGCAGGAGGATGTCGGCGCCGTCACGAACCTCGTTGATGGTGTACATCATAGGCGAGCCCCGTGGGAGGTGGGCATAGCCGGCTTTGAGGAAGGCGCGGGTGAGGTCGACGGATCCCCTCCACCTTGAAGTCACCCACAAACGGAGCTCCCTCTCCACGAGCATGCCCGATGGGTAGCGCAGCTCCGGCACGACAGGTGGACGAAGGAAGGTCGGCCCATTGTACTGCATCTTCACTTGGTCGCTTGGAGGGCTCGGTCGCTTGGGTGTTTGAAGTTGGAGAGAATGGATCTGACTTTTGGGTGGTGAGTGGGAGAGGAAGAGAGGCACCCCATATAAATAGGCATGTGGGAGAGAGATGAAGAAACAAGGGATGAGAACGGTGCGTGTGTGAATCCGGACGCATGTGTGTATCCTTTAAGTTTTGGACCCTTGAATTTTGGCACGGAAATGATGCATGGGGCGCGTGCGTGCGTCTGAATCACCGCATGAAGCTCTTTGACCGGGCGCGTGCATCTGACATGCTGCCGTTATCTGAAACAATACAATTCCAAATAAATACATGCATGGCCACGTCGCTCGCCTAGCTCGCCTCGCTCGCATGGATGCACGTCTGCCTCCCCACGTCGCCGCCCTTCCCATGCATGCAGGCCTGGAAAGGCTGAAATGGGAAATTAACTACGCTCGGGCCCGGACAAAGAGGCGGCCCAACGGTCCATCCAGCGTGCCCTGTACTTGTTGAGGAAAAATCGCCCAGCCAATCAGATTGCATCTCGCGGATCGCCCACCTCCTCCCCACAGATTCCTTCTAGAAGAGTTAGATCGACGGTCCTTGATCGCCGCTAGGGTTAGATGGACGGTCCCTGTTAAGCACTAGGGTTAGCGGGGTTTGCGAGGGGTTTCAAGCAGTCAAACATAGGTTTGACCAGATTTCAAATGAGCATAATAAATTAAATAAAAATCAGAAAAATGAAAAACATGCGCACATAGTCTTCTTATGTCATATACTAACAATTTAAGTTGATAAACAAGGTTTACATACATTTAAACGAAAAGTTCGTGTGTATTATGTGATATCTTAAGTATCTCAAACTCTCTTGTATGAAGTGAAGAAAAGTGTTTTGGGAAAATGAACATGAAAATTTCAAAAAACTCACTACAACTTCATTTTGGAGTGACAAAGAAGGATCCGGGCTTAGTTTTTCATTTTGATGTTTTAGACTTATTTAAATCTTGGTCAAAGTTAGGTTTGACCAGAATTCAAATGAGCAAAACAAATTAAAAAAATCAAAAAATGGAAAAACCAACGCACATAGTCCGTATATATAGAATATATGTGTAGGAAAGTTATTTGGCTGATTTAGACAAGGTCGAATAAAACCTTGCTTAGAAATGTTGTTTACCCTACCTTTGGACCCCTCTTTTTTAGCACATTTTCATGAAAATTTCAAAAACGTCACCACAACTTCATTTTGGAGTGACTAAGAAGGATCCAGGCTTAGTTTTTCATTTTGATGTTTTAGACTTGTTTAAATCTTGGTCAAAGTTAGGTTTGAATAGAATTCAAATGAGCAAAACAAAATTAAAAAAAATCAATAAAAGGGAAAAACCAGCGCACATAGTTTGTGTATATATAATATATGTGTAGGAAAGTTATTTGGATCATCTAGACAAGGTCAAAAAATCTTGCTTAGAAATGAGGCCGTTTACCCTACCTTTGGAGCTATTTTTTAGCACATTTTTCATGAATGTGATTTTACCAAAGTTTCAAAAGAATTACAACATCCATATAGCATGTCAAATTTGAAGTTCTAACATAGGTCCAACATCATTCAAACATAGTTCTAACATAGGTCCAACATCATTCAACAGAAATACAACATTATTCATAATGTTTCATAATTATTCATAAATAGCATTGGGGCTTCTGTCTGTTCCTTGAGCTTCTTGCCATCACTTTGCTCCTCGTGCACCTTGTGCTCACTGCTTCTTCTCTTCTCTTCTTGGTTGTCGCTACCTTGCGCATCTTCTTCAAACCTACCGCAGAGCTGTGCAAAACATAAAGGGTAATGATATAATGTCAAGTGATAAATGTACATTAGTATTTGCAAGATTTACATACCTAGCAGAACTCGTCAAAATCATGCGGCTGTTGACCATCATCATTTGGAACCTCGTCAAAATCCTCTTCTGATGCAACTGGTTGTTGATCATCATTTTCATCATCTGTTGAGGCAACCGGCTGCTGACCAACATTTTCATCGAAGCCTTCATCGAAACTCTCTCCGAACGCTGGATCTAGTGTGTTATCACAATACTTACCGAAATGACCAGACCCACCACACCTTGTGCACTTACGCTTCCTCGCTCCAAGTCCAGCTCCTTTGTTGCGAGGTCTGATTCGACTCTTCCTTGGTCTACCTGCCGCTCTCTTCAAAACTGGAGCGCAAAGCTTGAATCCAGGGTCCACCATGTCCCATTGTTGTTTTCCCTCCATAGTGATACGTCTCCAACGTATCTACTTTTCCAAACACTTTTGCCCTTGTTTTGAACTCTAACTTGCATGATTTGAATGAAACTAACCCGGACTGATGCTGTTTTTAGCAGAACTGCCATGCATGATGTTGTTTTATGTGTAGAAAAGAAAAGTTCTCGGAATGACCTGCAAATCCACGGAGGCACTTTTTGGAATTAATAAGAATTTTTGGGCGAAAGAAATATACCAGGGGGCCCAGGGCCTGTCCACGAGACAAGCCCCCCCCCCTGTATGGCGCGGCCCCCTATCTCGTGGGCCCCCTGGACCTCCACCGACCTCAACTCCAACTCTATATCTTCCGTCTCGCGGAGAAAAAAATCATAGAGAAAGTTTCATCGCGTTTTACGACACGGAGCCGCCGCCAAGCCCTAATCTCTCTCGGAAGGACTGATCTGGAGTCCGTTCGGGGCTCCGAAGAGGGGGATTCATCGCTGTCGTCATCATCAACCATCCTCCATCACCAATTTCATGATGCTCATCGCCATGAGTGAGTAATTCCATCGTAGGCTTGCTGGACGGTGATGGATTGGATGAGATTTACCATGTAATCAAGTTAGTTTTGTTAGGGTTTGATCCCTAGTATCCACTATGTTCTGAGATTGATGTTGCTATGACTTTGCTATGCTTAATGCTTGTAACTAGGGCCCAAGTTCCATGATTTCATATCTAAACCTATTATGTTTTTATCAATATATGTGTGTTCTTGATCCTATCTTGCAAGTCTATAGTCACCTATTATGTGTTATGATCCGACAACCCCGAAGTGACAATAATCGGGATACTTCTCGGTGATGACCGTAGTTTGAGGAGTTCATGTATTCACTATGTGTTAATGCTTTGGTCTGGTTGTCTATTAAAAGGAGGCCTTAATATCCCTTAGTTTCCATTAGGACCCCGCTGCCACGGGAGGGTAGGACAAAAGATGTGATGCAAGTTCTTTTCCATAAGCACGTATGACTATTTACGGAGTACATG